TTTGTTTTCTGGACAACATAGTGCTGAACATCAGTTTGAAAATCTGCATTTGTCACAACTTTTGTAATATATGCAAAAGATTTGTTGCACTCGTTATAAAAGATCTTGAACACTAATGGTGCGGAACAAACACCAACTGATGTAACCATCTTATTGTCTGGAAAATTTGTTGCCTATTGACGGTCACGAGCATAGAAGTCATGCAACACTTCATTTTTTTTGGCTATCAACCACCCTTCCAAAATGACTGAAAAACTATAGTAAATTGTGTTCTGGTTGCAAATATTTTTTTACAACCCCATTTACTGATTCACTAAGTTGGATAGTTCTCATTCCTGCTGTGAATTGTTGCATCATCCATGCAGAAGACCATTTATGCCTCAGTGTATGTATTGAAGATATCCATTTATGAGCTCCATTTGGAAAGCATGTTGATAGCATTAAAGACCATTCTAGATCAAACTCTTGCTCATTGTTGACACAATATATTAGCTTGTGGAAAAACCTTGCAAAACTACAACAAAAAAAAAAGAAAGAAAAATAGTGTTAGTATATAACATAATATGTCATATCTACTATGCGTGTATCTATAAAATAATATTATCAGACAACAAACTTGATAACATTGAAATATATATCTAAAACGATCATAAATATTACATTTCTGTGTATGTTTTACTCAAGTTTTTTTTAGCATTCTCCAATATATGCCAAGTGCAAAGTACATGATATGTACATGGCATTGTCTGAGCTATGGCTGAAGATATTGCTCCATCTTGATTTGTAAAAATTGTTTTTGGATACTTGTTCCCCATGCATTTAATAAAGGTATTGAATAACCATTCGAATGATAATTGCGTTTCATTCAATAGAAGTGCAGCTCTAAATACACAACATTTGCGATGGTGGTTGAATCCAACAAACACAGCTGAAATGACCAAGAAAATTAGTATAATTGTTATATAAAATAGCAAAGTGAATAAAAATAAGCACATGTTAAAGATATAACCTAACGGCCTGTAGCTTTTATTTGTCCGATATGTGGTGTCGAATGTAACCGAATCTCCAAATATTGAATAGTCCATTCTCATTTGAGCATCAAACCAAAATATAGTTGTAATTTTTTCCCCATTGTCCAATGCATATTCATAATAGAAATATAACTTTTGAAGAGATTGTTAACTAAAATAATTCATAATTGCATCAGCCTCACCTATTAACAAAAATTAAAAGCATTAACCAATAAAATAAATATATTACATAAAAAAAAAAATTACTCCTACCATGTCCAATTTAGTGAAGCCCACTAACTTTGATGACCCAGCTGCCCGTTGCATCATATCATATGAAGCTTTTAATGGTAAACCCACATCCTCATTTATTTGAGCTATTAGCTTATGTCCTTCTCAATTTTCCTATATGACTTCAACAAATGCTTATGTTTAGGAGAGTGCATAGCATGATTATGCTCATCCTAAAAATACGTGACAACATATGTGTCATCTTCTTTATTATACTGCAATTTTATCTTTGCTGGACATCCAATTCGAGTAATTAACAGGTATATTTCTTTGGCTAGATGCTTGTTTTGTTGATGAAGATTTGAATCATGCCTTATTGCAACTGTACTGTATATACATAATTTGATTACCTTCTTATTTTTTTTTTATACTTTATTCGCACCGAAAAGCCTTTCAAATGTGCATAATTATTGTAGGACATGAAAGCATCATTTGGTATTTCAAATATTTTCGCTTTAAATCCTATTTATATTAAAAAGATTAGTAATATTAAAAGTGAATATATATATATATATTAGTAATATTAGTAATCATTTAGTGTAACATTCATATATATATATATATAAAAGAATATATATAAACCATGCATAACAAACCAACCAACAAACATTGTATGCCAAATAACTGTAAATAACAAATTTTAAATCTCACATAACAAATAGAAGCCACATATGAACCTTTATAATCATATTACATAAGTTTAAGTAATAATAACCAACTTTAAGTAATAATATAAGATAGTTTGAGTGTCAACACAAGTCACCAACATTGATATTAAAATTTTCTTATTAGTGCACAAATATGTAAAATTTAGATAGAAGAACTATTAGCTATAAATTAACATTCAAATTTCACTTATTTGGGGGCCATGACAGCAGACAGACATATCTTTCTCAATCGCCATAACCAATTTCATGAGCTAACCAACAAATCTTTTTTTTTTTCCATTCAAATTAAACCTCTCATCAACCCCCAATCCTAAACCCCAACACACATATATTCAATTAATCTCTTACGTGTCTTGCCTTGATTTCCATTTTCTCCAAATTTTTGTATATAATTTATCGTAATTTACTTATTTGAGTTGTATAATTCAATCAATATTTCATAGTGAATTGCATTAATACTATAATGATTACAAAGATATGAAAAACAAGTTACATTGCAGCTATATTATAACAGATTAGTGAAATTGAAATGTAATTTGCAATGTAAGAATTTAGGGCAGAAATATGAACTCTATAAAAAGGAAGATGAAATAATACAGGGAAATCTTCAAGTGAAGTTTTTTCGACAAGGCAAAATGCAATCGCAGTTCATCGGCGTCGAAGATTTCTTCTTCTTCTTCAGCGTTTCAGTATGCGCGTGTGAGTGTTGCGAGTTCTGCGAATTGAAAGCGATAAGAAGCTTTTAGTATTATATATGATTTATTATAAAATTACATTATTACCTTTCAATTAAATCTCCACCATTAAATATTAAATACAATTAATGGATTGCTGAAATTAATTAATCAGCACCGGATCTGAGTCGTAAAATTATTGGTTTGTTTCCTTTTAATTTAGGGTGTGTTTCTTTTGCACAATTTTGAGAAAATCTATAACGATGCTACTGTGTATGCGTGAATGGGCATAAAATCTCGCTTACCCTAACATATTTTGCTACATTGGGATAGTAGAGTCAGAAGAAAAATATTCTTTTTATATTTTTTTTTAATTTTTAATTTTTTCTTAATCAATAATCTATGATTTTTTTTTTTTTCCATATAAGGCATCTGCAATGGGGCATCTCTATTGTGGAGATGGACGCATTTAAAAATAAATAAAAAAATTGGAGATATCAACTTTCAATGCAGAGATGCTTGAGTAATATTTATTTTTTTTGTCATATGCTCTATTTTAAGTGGGACACATCACATATTCATATAATATATAAAAATAATTTTGTATCTTAAATATATTATTATATTTTATTTTTTTTAATAGTTTATAATTCATAAAAAAATTTATTATACAATACCAATATTAAATATTTTTTATTAATTTAAATTTATAATATATAAATATAAAATATTAATTAAATTTATTAAACTTTAACAAAAAAATCATAATAAAATTAAAAAATAATTAAAATTAAACTTAATTAAATAATATACTTTTTATTTCCAGAAATTATTAATAAATTAAAATGTTGACAAAAAAAAATAATTAATTAATTAATTATAAATAAAAAATATCGGGTGGTCTTAGCCATTTTTACTGTGCATGAATGACTATTTTATTTGTTATTTTTTGTTTTATTCTTTATTTTTTTAATTTTCAATTCGTTTAGTATATTTTAAAATTTTCAAACAATAAAACTGTGAATTTGTTTGTTTGGTAAAATAGTTGGAAGAAATATATCTTTATATGAATTATAGAAAATTGTATGAATAATATAAAATTTATACTTTTAATTTTTATAATATATTATTTTAATTTAAAAAATTATTTATACAATACAATCTACTATTTATTTCATAAATTTTAATTTTATCTATAAAAATTATATATATATATTATTACACTTTAATATTACCACATTTATTATTTATCAAATTAATAAATATAAAAAATTCCCAAAACCGAGTGACTTAAGAAAAACAAAAATTAAAATTCATCTTAAAATTCAAATTAAATTCAAATTCAAACTAATTTTTTTCAAATCCATTCAAAAGAAATTGGAGGTTTGGATTTTGAATTGAGATTTGAATAGTAAAAATTTTGAATTTGAATAATTGTATGATGCTATATAAATAGGTGTTGATGTGATGTTTTGAATGTAAAATTGATTTTTAGTATAATATAGAAAATGAAAAATAGGTGTTTGATTTGATATTTTTGGGGGAAAAAAAATTGGATGAACAGTGAAAAAAAATCCAATCCCTAGACAAACACACCCTTAGTTTCAAAGTTTTAATGTAAATTATATTTTCATATAATATTTTATAATATAAAATAATATATTTTTATTAAAAATCTGATTAAATAATTTTAATATGAGTTTGAAATCAAAATCAAACGCATTCTATATGATTTTTTACTTTTTTACAAAAGGTCACAAAAAAAAGCTATTTTAAACAAAAAATTTCAAATTTAAATAAAAATTTTAATTTACAGACAAACCAAGTCAACCCTTGACATATGGTTTGTTTGGTTGGGATATTTTTTTTTTGAGAAAAATCATAATATTGTTTGATCTTCACAATTCTCTGTAAAAAAAATAATTATTTTTCCAAAAACAAATCAAATTCAAATTACTAAATAAATAAACAACCAAAATAAAAAGCTTGACACAAAATATAAATATATATATATATATACAGTAGTTCAAATTTATATTCATTTTCCTTTTTTTGTTGTCATTTGAAAAATATTTTTATTTCTTTTTAAATAAAAAATTATTATATTTTTATATTTTTTTACTATAAAAAAATATTATTATTCAATTTTATTAAAACTCATGCAAGATCAAATGAACACACACATTTACGTGACAAGGTGAGAGTATATTTTAATATTGAAAGATTGCATGAAAAAACGAAATGAATAAAGAGAATAAACCCAAATGTATTTGAAAATACTAAATTGGTTGATAATTGGGCCAAGTTCATTTTGTTGGCCCAATTAAAAGTATCATGATATTATATGGTGCCTGGTAGAAGAAGACAAAGTGAGCCCATCTTGTACACCCACTGTCACTGTAGCAGCGGCGTCGCCGAGGCCGAAGTGGCGGACCACTGGACTGCTGGATCTCCGGGAAGCTAGTGAGGTTCCACAAGTGTGTGGTGTACTTCCGAGGGGTCGGAGTATTACGGAGATGGGGCGCTGCGTTTCGATCGTCATGATTGTGGTTGTCGTTGTGGTTGCGATGGCGGTCGCTCGTGGAGACTCCGATAATAAGTCGGCATCCGTTTGGTCCACTGTGAAAGAGGAAGGAGATCTTCTTGCGTGGGATCCGGAAGCCGATGATGATTTGACTGAGCTTGCAATGCGCGACGACGAGGAGCGCCAGCTGGACGGCGGTTTTTCTTCGCTGGACGGGATGTTGCAGTGGGCGATTGGTATCTCCTCCTTCCGAATTCTAGTTTTTGTTTTGGTTTGATTCTATTCGATTCGAATGCTTTAATAGCTGAGAAATTTGTAAGGTTAGGGATTCGCCTCTGAACTAAATATGTTTGGAGGCCGTAGCTTATACTTTATTTACCCTAATTATGTTTTGAACTTGCATCTGTTAGCTGTTAGGGTAAATTTACTTAGAGATGAAATACGGATAATGCTCTGCTTAATGCATTGGGAAAGTTTTGGTGGTGAAAAACTGTTACGGAATGGTCTAAGAATTTTACGCTATGGATTAATGTTTTGAGGCAAAAAGGAAGTATATAATCTGAGGATAGGAAACTATTCTTATAATTTCTCTTTTTAGTTTGCTCTAAGAGATAGCTTGCACCCTTGTGATGATACATACATAATGTAATGTACTAACATGTTTATTATTTGGGGGAAAATTGAGTAGGCCATTCCGATCCAGCTAAGTTAAAAGAAGCTGCATTGGGCATCCAGCACCTGTCCCCAGAAGAGCTCAGAGAGCGTCAGATGGAAATAAAGGTGGGATGCTTAAATGAGTTTTTTTTATTCATTGTATTGTATTGTGTTGATCGATTTGTTATATACATATTTATATGTAGTGACGAATATAGTGTTTCTGCATGTATAAGATAGAAGGAATTATTTTTAAATCATTTCTGTTTGTTATGTGTGCTTTTGAGGGCCCTAGGCCAGTCCCGAAAGCCGAGCAAACATATCCATAGTTTTTTACTACCCAACTTTTTTATTCAAGAGGTAGCATCTAGCTGTAATCTTGTGTACTCTAAAGCGGAGATGGCATGTGGGCGTGAAGTATGATGCTTATATTGTAGCACTGCTTTTGATCATTGTCTTTAACAAAATATGTTATATATTTTACTGATTTTCCAGTAATCAACAACCTCAATATAAGTTCTAATAGATGTACAGACATATGGTGCTGTTTTGTCATTCTTGTATTGATCTTTTTCGTATTATATATATATATGTTGTTTTAAGGTACAACTGTATGCAATATATCTAGTACTGCGGATACGGTTCTTATTTTTGTTGTCCTTGATGACATGTAACAGGAACTGATGGAGAGATTAAAGACTCCATCAGATGCAGAATTGATGAAAATTGCGATAGACGATTTGGATAACAGTTCCCTATCTTTAGAGCAGCATCAGCGTGCTCTTCAGGAACTCTTGATCCTTGTTGAGCCCATAGACAATGCCAATGGTATGTGTGGTTTACAACCTATAATCATTATTTAGCCTGGGAATTTTCTTCAGCTAGCACTATTTTCAGTTTCTAGAGCATGTTTGTGACACCCCGGCCGGCTCAAACTGGGGTGTCACCGCCACGCCACACCGGATGTAACACCCCGGCCGGCTCAAACCGGAGCATTACCGCCACGCCACACCGGAAGACTTCGTTCATCAACCAACGAGTCCTACGTTGTGGCGCTAAGGCTAAAATAATAAATACCAACAACTAATAGGGATTTAGAATTAAAGCGCACCGGCTTATCAATTAAGTAAATAAAGTTCAATTCAAAAGCATAAATTGTGAATAGTTTGAAAGGCATAATGAATTTCAAAAGCATCTTAGAAGGTAAAGTAGTTCTAATTCCCCCGATGGATCATATGACGTGAATGCATCACTTAGGTATAACGGAAGCATGATCACCTATAAAAAGATTGTAAGAAGAGGGTCAACACAACGCTTGAGTAAGCACAATTAATCGAAGATAAATTAATACGGTATAATGCCACAAAATCATTTGAAAAAGATAATTGAATAAGATGACACATATGACATAAGGGGAACTCACAGACACACGAGTCTTTTAACGCCTCCCTTATATCTCCTTTTCATTTTCAAATAATAGTGATGAGCACATCACGAAAAAAACTCCACTAGGCCTTAATCAGGGCCGGCTCGACCCGGTTTCCCAACCTTATTAATTAGTATGACACATCACATAGTTTCACGTAACAACCATACGGCCCACAACCCTCTAGTCTCAAATATAACATACCAAGAGAGGATTGTACGCAATCCATCCCTCCATCATGGATGACGGTCTAAAGACTTTTTCATTGTGAATGACGGGCACCTCAGAATCACCCAAAAAGGGAACCCGCCATCTCGATCCTTCGACCTAGCCCATTCGAGATCTAGTTCAAGGTTAGTTAGTTATCATAAAATACCGGTATACCCTTGCGTGTTTGCAAGGCATAGAGGTGGAAGACTATGTCTTATCATCCAAACAATTGACGAATTGATCGGACTCGACGGATAGTTTCAATTACCAATTTGACCAAATACTCAGCATGCTCTTAGGCAAATTTCAAAAAGAGTGTTTTAAACTCAAAATATTCCAATTGTCAATATTTAACCAAGCAAAAGTAGGATATTACACCCAACAAATTCGTTATAATCTCACTTTATTTCGCCAAATAAACATTCGAAAAATGTCAATCACAATTGGCATGGTCTAACTCCAAAAATCATAATATTTGAATATAATAGTAAATCTTTTTCCAAAAAAACCATAACTAGGTTAGGACGAAACATCCCATAAATTCTACGATTTTCAATTTAAAATACAATGATAATCTTCACATAAGCCTTAGATGACATTATAATTAACTTTTTAGAAGAAATTGACAAAACCTAATACTTTTAGGGAAAACCCATTTGACAACAATTTTGAAAAAAATATCAATAGAAGGGATCTAAGGATTAGAACGTATTATCTATCTAAGATTAATCCCACTTACGTCAAGAGAAGAGACCAAAAGGAAGAGTTTTGGAGAAAAAGGAATCCAAGGAAGAAGAGGGGAGGGGCTGGCGGCTTGTAGGCGTGTCTGCTGGTTGCTGCTCCCTGTTTTTTTTTTTTTAATTTTAATTTTTTTTTTATTTTATACTTTATTAGACATAAAAGACTTGGGCCTTTATTATTTATTTTACCCTACTTGGGCCCAAACTCAATTTTTATTCGTAATTTAAACCCAATTTTTTAATTTCTTACACTAAAAGCCCAAAATAAGTTAGGCCCAAAATAAAATTTGTCGGACTCCGGCAAACTTTCGGCGATTATTTTACGGGGTATTACACCGAAAGGTTCGTTTATCAACCAATTAGCTCTACGCTGCGGCGCTAAACCTTAAATAATAAATACAAACAACTAAATAGGGATTTAGAATTAAAGCACATCAATTAAATAAGTAAAGTCCGAGTAAAAAATATAAATTGGAAATAGTTTAAAAGACATTAGTTTAAACATAATTAATGAATTTCAAAAGCATTTTAAAAGGTAAAGTAGTTATAGTTCCTACGATGGATCATATGATGTGGATGCATCATTTAGGTATAACAGAAGTATCATCACCTACAAAAAAGTTGTAAGAAGAGAGTCAACATAATGGTTGAGTAACCGCAATTAATCGAAGATAAATTAATACGGTATAAGCCACAAAATCATTTGAAGAAGATAATTTGAATAAGATGTCACATCACATAAAGATAACTCACACACACGAGTCTTTTAGCACCTCCTTTATATCTCATTTTCATTCTCAAATAATGGTGATGAGCACATCATGAAGAAAACTCCACTAGGCTTTAATTAGGGCCGGCTCGACCCGATTTTCCGACCTTATTATTTCGTATGACACGTCACATAGTTACAATGTTGGTATTGGGAAGAGCTTCATTATAGTGTTTGTTTTGCTAAAAGTAAAATATTAAGAAGTTCTCTTCACTTCTTTGACTTGATTTTGGTGTAATGAATTCCTTCGTTGCTGGAAAGTTACCATGTATCTACCTAGAACGCCTGAATTTCTAGATGAATCATATAAAGTCATTCCTTCTAGCGGTGAGGTCCTAAAAAGAATATAGTAAAGGGTTGCATTATGAGAGGAGACTATAACTGACTTGATAAGAATTGATATGAAGGAATTTGATGTAGTGAGACGAGTGATCAAGAAAGATGCAAGATATATTTAGCTTGTGCAATGGAGATGCGAGCACTCACGAATTTCAAAGAGAGCATATCAATAGTCAAAGACTTTATAAACATAATCAATTTGTTCACTCAGCATATTTAGATGAATTAATATTTTTTGTGTGTGGTATGGGGAACTGTTGGTAATATAAAATTAATATTTTGCGTTAAATGGTTGACTTTATATGAGTAGATGATATATACTATCTCCGTCTGGCTCTAAGGGTCCCATTTACTTTTTGCGTGTTGATCTTTGAATATTAGTTATTATATCAAAACGTAGTCCAAATTAAGAAAAAATTGCAAAAATACTTTCATTGGTGTCTTATAATACTAATAGGACATTTGTACAAAAATTTAGGCAAAATAGCAAAAAACCCCAGTAGTTTTACGAATTTGCTGAAAACCCATAGTGGTTCAAAAATTCCAAAAACCTACTTGTGCTTTTCAAAATATTGCACACTCTCTCTCCTCTTTAAATTTGACTAACGGACGTTAAATTTTATGAGATTTGACAGTTATACGGTTATTTATATATTTTTTGATTTATTTCTCTCTTATGTTCTTTTTTCTTCTGTTTTTTCTTCTTTTCTTTTCCCCAACTTTTTTCTTCCATGTTCTTTTCTTCCCCAAATACTTCTTTACACGTCTTTTTCCTCAATTTTTTTCTTCATTTTCTCCAATTTTTTTCACACCATAGCAGTTCCACCCATTCTTTCTTTTTTTCTTTTTCCCCAATTTTCTTTTTCTTCTTCATCTCAAATTCTTCTTTGAAGACTGAAGAATAGGAAAAGGATAAGAAGAGAAAGAAGCAACGGGCAGAAGTGGTTGGAGTAGGGAAGAAGAAAGGAAAAAGAGAGAAAAAAGAAGAGAAGGGGAAGAAATTTTTTATTTTTTTTTCTCCAATTTTATTTTTCTTTTCTCTCTCTTTTTTCCCAATTTTCTTTCTTTTTTTTTTCTCCCCAATTCTTCTTTACGCCGGTTCGTTCTTTCTTCTTAGATTGATTTCAAATCTTGATATCAAATTAATTTCTTAGATTTCTGAATTTGGTAAAACAGAAGAAAAAATATTTTTTGTGGGTTTGGACTAATAGAAAAAGAAAACTTAGACATTCTCGTCTCTATCTCCATGTCCGGTCGATTAATTGTGTTATAAATTTGGAATCGATTTCAAATTTGGTTGTGTTTAGGGGATTTAAAATGAAAAAAAAAATTGAATTGAGATTAAATTCTTAAAGTATGCCGAAGAATAATGAAGAAGAAGAATAAGGAAAAAGAAGAATGAAGAAGAAGAAGATTATGTAAAAAGTAGCCATTAGGGTATTTTAGTAATTTTATATAGAAATATATCACTTTATGGACCAAAAATCGCATTTTAGGCGTGTGATACAACCTCCGTTAAATTCTAACGGAGGAGGATTTTTTTGCAACATTTTGGAAACCACAAGTAGGTTTTTGAAGTTTTAGAACCACGAGGGGTTTTCAGAAATTTCGGGAAACCACAGGGGTTTTTTTGCTATTTTGTCAAAAATTTATACAAATATAAAGATATTTTTAATGTTAAGTACAATGACGCAAAAGGTAAATTTGATCCTTAGAGGCGAACGTAAGGAGTATGTTATATTAATGTGTGTGTATATTTGTATTTTTTAAATATTTATGGAGAATTGTTCCATTGAGAAATATTGAGTGAACAGACTGAATATTTAAAAATCACTCAATGACTTCATGGTTGTTTTCATCAAAGACATTCTCATGCATTCACAAAGTGAATAGGTGCACGAGGACCATTAATGACTATTTTACAAATGTTATTGAAGAAACAACTTTATGGGCAAATTTTAGTTAAACAGCATGGCCTTGTTAAGAAGGTGGCACTGGAGGTACGTTGACCCAAACCCATAAATTTGAGCGAAATACAAAGTTTTTGGAATTAGCTAGCTGCTACTGGAAGATTGTTGAAGGATTTGTTAAAATAGTGATGCTATTAATAAACTTGATATAGAATAGAATGGAGTTTGAGTGAAGCCCAATGCCCTTATGGTCCCACAGGCCATATGCTAAGAAATCCTCGAATAACTAATGAAAAAATATGTATTGGTCCTTGTACTTACGATACCCCATAGTCGCGATTAATTATTATGCCGGTTGAAGGGGAATCTAAGGGAGGCGCAGCCTCAAATGGTAAAGTATGCTAATCGTTCTCAGCGCGATGTGAGTTTTTAGTTAGGGATCGGGTGTTCTTCAAAGTGCGCCTATATAAGCAGACTTCCTTGGCAAAACAATCTAATCATAAAGTCTTTGCAAAATTCTAAAGCCCTTTTGTTACAGAAGCGCGTGTCGTAGCTTAGAAGGTCGTGGGAGATCACCTTGTTGAACAGAGCTTCCTAAAAGTTTGGAGATACCACTTAGCCCAACATTTGAACGGGAAGCGGTACTGGCGTGGCATAATGTGTTAGTCGGCCAGGAGGATGTCAAACAGATTTTTGTGTAATGGGTTGGACAGCCGGAGGATGAAGCTACGTGGCGCATCAATTTAAACAACAAGTCTCTCACTTCAACTTTGCTGACAAGGTTGTTTTGCAGGGGGAATTGATAGAGAACAAAAATTAAATGAGCAAAGGATGCAAGCAAGAAGGAGAACCCCGTCGTTTGCTAGTGTACCGCCGACGCGAACTTAATTTAGGAGCTGAGTAATCCTGAACCTTTAATTGCTCTCTTTATTACCCTTAGAAAGATTTAGGGATTAGATTATGAATAAAATTGATAAAGGAAGTTTGAGAAGGGAAGATTTGATATTAATATATATATATATATTGAGATAAATGAGAAATGGGGGATTGATATTATAATAAAACAGTATTTTTTTATTTCTTAAAAATTTGATCTATCAATGAGACTGCGTGTTAAGAGTAAAAAAATAAGAGAATGGATTAATTATGAAAAAATGATAAATAAAAGATAATTTCATTGAAGAAAAATTGTGACTAAATATTGTCATATTTAAAATTTATAAAATCGAAACAATATTTATTTATAAAGTTTATAAAAGTTAAATAGTAATATAAATAAATAAATAAAAATACATATCCAAGTATACAAATTCATTTCTCATATTTGAAAATAGAGAAATGCAAATTTATTTCTAGGATTTTGGACAAATTAAGATTTCCAGTGGTAGCAATCCTTTGTCACGGGAACATGTCGGTGATCTGTCTCAAGGTGGTAACTTCAGTAAATTAATGTTTTGGCCAAATTAGGAGTTTGTTTTGTGAAATGGTTTGAAGGGATTTTTTTATTTTTTATTTTTTATTTTTTATGTGAGATATAAGAAATTGTGTAGATAATATAAAAATAATGAGTGTAAGTTTTGTTCACCCAAACCAATTTTTAGATTGCGATTCCCGATAAATAATAATAAAAAATATAAAATATTATCTACAAAAGTCAAAAAGAAAAATTCAAATACTCATTAAAAAAGTCAAAAAGTCAAATATTCAATTTAAAATAATATATTTTATATTTTTGACACAATTTTCCATACCACACGTAAAATTTATCCATCCAAAAACTCTGGGTGAACATACTCATTATTTTTTTGGGGGGAAATGTGTGTTTTTTGACAAAACAAACAAACCCTAGGATTTTTAGTAGCCACGATCCTCCGTTGTGGCGGCGGCTGCAACGAGTTTTTGTCGCTACATTGATGCTGAATCCTAAAAACTTTAACCCTAATAGGCAGAAATTCCGGACAAGTAATTGAATACTAAACAAAAAAGTTGATAAAAAAAACTGGAAACAATTTGACAGGTAAGTTGAAAATATTACAATATGTAGTCGAAAAATTCTAGCAATTAGACACTGAATTCATTTGCACATCCAACCAAAGTCGGCTGTAACAAAATTATTGACAGTGTTAACCACTGTTGTCACGGCATCGCCATAGCGGGTGCCATGGCGTCCCGGCGCTTTTTGGGGAGCGTCGGGACTCTTTGCCTCGCCATATTAAACAAAGCGGCTTGGGTCGGCCTTAATGACGCCGTGGCGATGCCTCAAAAATGCCACGACGATGCCATGGCATTGGGCAGGCTAGCCTAGAGCCTTGTAACTTAAATCTCCAGCCTAGCCCAGGTCCCCAAATCGTATTGACCTCAACCCGTAAACCTTGAACCTGATTGAACCTCACTTGTGATCCTCTCTCTCCCGCTCTTCTCTACTCTCTCTCCTGTTCTAGCTGCGGTTGTCCACAGCGTACAACTGCTTCATCGCATGGCGCACAATTGCTCTCCTTTACTCTTCTTAGGGCTATTTTTATTTTTATTTAATACTATTATAGTATTAGTTTATAGTGTATCACATTATTATTTATTATTTATTTTATAGTTATTATTTATAATTTTTAAATCAACTTTCTATTTTTGTTTGTTAGTTATTTTGTGTTTTCTTTAACATATTATAAAATTAATTATAGACATTATTTTCATATAAGATATAATATATGCATATATAAGTTTTATACACGTTCGTCGTGATTGTCATATTGTCGCCATGGCGGTCAACAGGCGTCACACCACAAAAGGGTGTTGTGACAACTTTGGTGTCAACTGACGACATTGACGAAATGTTGACAGGTGCAGGTAACACATACGTGTTGTGTCTGATGATCATATTTGATGGCAAGTATTTCAAATTAGGAATACGATGACGGTGGTGATATGGGTCAGATGCATTGAAAAGTAAGAAATAGGAGGGATAAAGAATAAGATATATATTTTCGAAGTGATAGTGGATCTCAAATTTGGAAAAAATTCCTCTGGATACATTCCAATTCCAAATCCAAATCACAAGGATGTATCGAGAGAAAACGTAACTCTGATGCTATGTAACATTCTGAGAGAAATCTTAATAATGAAATTAATGTTTATTGTGTAGAAGGATAAAATCAAATAATAACAATTAGTACTTTAGTAGATATATCTAAATAATAAACACCTAAGCTACTAGATATATCTAAATAATAACAATCTTATATAATAGATATGATTAAATAATAAGTAACAAGTCTAAATAATATCAACAAAAATATTTATCTAAAATATATTTAACATAATGGAATTAAGAGGTTTGATTTAACTATTTATGTCAATAAAGTACACATTTGTTTTTGGGAGCCTACCAAATAAAAGATTTAGAACTAAATGTGCTTGCCTTGAAGCAATTTCTAGGTAGATAATCTTCTGGAAAGTTTCTCAGAATACATGTGAATGAGGACAAAGCACATTGAAAGGATATGCATTGATATGTGAAGCAGTCTAAGATCATACAAGTCACCCAACTTACGACAGAGAGGTCAGGAAGGGGCCGGGGTGTTGCAGTGACTCTCGGCAATGAATTGTGTAATGGATATAAAAATGACTAGATTTTAAGATGAGAATCAAAATGTTTTTCTTATCCGTACATTTTCTTTGTAAATAGTGTGATAAATGATAATTGAGTGGTGCTTTGTGCAGCATATACGTTACAGGTTTTAGCAGGTGTGAAGGTTTGAATATTGAAAAACATCTTAGAAACTGTCATCTATTCAACTGTCTATAAATTTTTCTACTTAGTGCATTATATATATACCCCCGGTTCATTTGGTTCTATACTAACAAACAAGTCTGCAATCAAAATAATGGAACATATTATAGATTAACAAGTTGCATTTCAGTCAGCTCTTGTCTGGGCTTCTGTTGCTTGTAGAAGTGAAAGAGAAGGCTAAACATGCCTGATATAACTCATTTAAATATAATGCCTGTTGTTTTGCTGCATCTCAGATTTACATAAACTTGGTGGACTCACTGCAATCATAGGGAAGCTTGAACATTCAAACCCACAGATACGAACTACTGCTGCTTGGGTTCTTGGGAAAGCCTGCCAAAACAACCCTTTTGTTCAGAACCAGGTATCAAGTCGAAGTCGACATTTCCAACCATGTCAAAGCTGCTATTGTGCTTTTTTCCCTTCACGATCAAAGTTTTATGTTGTTATGGAGGTGCCTCACCCGTGTAGACTCCAACTATCAGAGTATTTGTAAATGCAGGTTTTGGAGCTCGGACCCTTGGCTAAGTTAATGGATATGACACGCTCTGATTTCATTGAAGAAGCCACGAAAGCATTATATGCAATATCAGCTTTAATCAGAAGTAATCACAGGGGACAAGAACTGTTCTATATGGAAGCTGGGGATTTGATGATTCAGGTAATTGATTAATCCTGTAAATGATACAGCACTTGTATTAGATCTAAAAATTGCATCTGTTACTCTTTTTTTTCCTTTTTTGGTTGTTGTCCTGCAGGACATTCTAAGTAACACAAGCATTGATGTCCGGCTACGACGTAAATCTGTGTTTCTATTGGCTGACCTTATTGAATGCCAATTGGATGAGAGAAATAGCTCAGCACCGCCTTCCTTCAGCAGTCATTTGTTGTTAAAGTCTGTAGTGAATCAGATGGCCTCCGTAGACCTCGATCTCCAGGAAAAGGTTTTTGCCTGTTCTTTATCCTTAATAAATTTTGGTATGTTAATAATATATGTGGTGATGCCAAATAGTACATTATTATTATACTTGCATCTGTGATCGATCAAGTAACTTGTGTGTAACTTGCAGGCCCTGTACGCAATTAAGAATTTATTGCTGTTGAGATCCGCGAATGCTGTGGTCTTCAAAGATGTCTGCGAGTTAGATGTGGCCTTGCATAAAATGGAACAACAATTGCAGCAGCAGCAGCACCAGCACCAGCGATTGATTTCTGATTCTGATTCTGATGATGATACGGTAAAAGACTTCGAATTTGGTGAGGATATGGAAAATCTTCGAAGAGAAGTTGAGGCCATTTTCAATAGAGAGTTGGATAAGGCAAGGCAAGGGAGAGCCGAGTCTGGGGATATATATGATAATAGTAATAATAGTCCTCCACAGTTTCCACTCAAGCAATAGCATTAACATTAACAGCCATATTGATATTGCCTGCCTCGGTGAGAAGCTTCTTGGCAGGTTAGGATTGGATGGATTGATTGATTAGGTGTGTCCGTGACCACTGAGTGTGAGTGAGTTAAATAGTAGTAAAACAAAATGGGTATATTTGTACAGTGAGTGTATGGATTTGATCAAGGGTTAAACAAGTAAGGTTTTATTATTATTATTAGAAGAAGACACTGCTGTGTTGGTAGTTAATTTTAATTTTTTTTTAATATGTTTTTTGGCTAGTGTATATTATTGGATAAAAGGATAAAATAATTGCGGATATTTTTTATTTGGATTTCAGATAAATATGAATATGTTCTTTTGGATGAAACTATGGAGATTTTTAAGGAAAATATTAATTTATTTTGGAGATAGATTGAGTATATTACTTTAATTATTTGGGATAGCCTTGATTCTTTTTTAAGGAGGCCGGGGAATCTTTCAAACAAATAGATTCTGGTAGGCTTTTTCTATTAAGCTGCCAGAGATGATTTTTTGACGACAATAGAAATGGGCATGTCCAGTGGGACATCGACGTCTCACGGCTATTGCATGAAACTTCGGAAGAGAAAACTGACATCTCTGACAATCATGGAGATGTCGAAAAATAAAGAAATTATCGGCGACTCATCATCGCACCCTGCACAGGAAGCTGTGCCACGTGATGAAGCTTCCGCGGCAGCTGGAAGGCTAGATCCTATCGTTAGCCTTCCGTCCAACGTACTCCGGGGGAAAATTCAATCTTCTCTCCACGAATCTGCCTTGAAACTTTCAAAGTACATCACTCACATGCTAAATCCCACTATTCGGACTGAATTCACGCTACTTCTGAAGGTAGAAGCTCGAAAAGGCAAGACCCCGATGGCCAGCTCCAATCTGCCAGAAATATAGCCTCCCGCCAACCTTGCAGCTTGCTCCGGAGTGGACCCGACCTTCCAGGTGCTCAAGTATGGTCAGGTTACAATTTTTGGAAAAAAATTGATCTGGAGAACCTCCATTCAATGTCCGGAAGCTCGGAGAATCTAGCGAGCCGGCTAGGCAGGCCTCCTTCGAGCCACTTCCGACGTGCGGATTCAACATGACCTTTGGGTCAGTACCATCAGCTCTGTATTGGCATTCGAGTTTGACATTCACCAGAGCCACTCTCAGCGCCCCAGCTCCCATTCCGGGCCTCCAAGGACATCCGACGGCCGGACAAGGGATTGCCAATACTTGGGGGACAGGGCTAACAGCGGTTCCAGCACCCTCATTCGCTTCAGCACCTTTTGAAACGATGTAGGGACTAGAGGGAGCTATACCGGTGACATCCTAACACGTTGGGGGGCAAGTAGCTGCTCGGAAGGTCAGCTCAGTGCTGGTTCCAAGATACAGAAAAATTTTGAATTTTTTGCCCAAACAGCCGCCGAAAATCCTCAAGTACAACAGACCCAGTGTTTAGAAAAGCTGCGGAAGGTCCTTGAGTTTATTTCCCACAATAGGGACCTACTCATCAGGCCTTCCCAGCCGGCAGCTCGCGATCCGTCGCTCGTCCAGGCAGTTTCCGAACAGCCTGGAGCGTAGGCAGAAACAGTGCCGCCGCTTTCTCCAATCATAAATCCCCAAGCGATCAAAGATGTAATTCAGAGGATTTATGGTGATCCCATCCGCTTACCGGCTAAGCCTTACTACCAACAGCGTTTTCCGGGGTACATTCCTTTGGATCACCTGCTGCCTCGCAACTCTAGAATCTCCGAATTCATGATATTTTTTTGGTGGAGAATACGGGAATAACGATTGATATAAACTCCAGCTTTTTTCTTTGTCTTTGACCGGTCCAATTTTTTCATGGTATACATCGCTGCCCCTGAATTCAATTCATACGTGGGCAATCATGGAGAGGGTTTTCTACCAGCGCTTCTAAGCCCTCTTCTAGAGGTGACCATCTAAAGATTTGACAAGTTTGCGTCAGCGTGGTGACGAATCTATGCAGCAGTTATTGGAACACTTCAGGAGGTCGAAAAGTAGGTGCCAAGTTCGTATACCAGAGAACCAAATGATGAACATGACAATTGACAACATGACGCACCAACTGCGTGATAGCCCTCTAGGAGTACCATGACTTCCGGCAGTTGACATCAAAAGCTTTGAAGACCGAGCAGCTAATGAGAAAGAGGCTTAAACGACCCAAAATCAGAAGTTTCGGAGTAGAAATCATTGTATCTTTGCTCAAGAAGGAGCTGCCGAGGTCGAGGAGCAGCAAGAGGAGATCTTCTTGGCTGAAATTTCGCAGGGGAAGGCATATACATGCCTGGCTCTTAAGCCACCCCGACGGAAGGAGGTGAATCTGAAGGTATCTTATTCTTTCGATATTGCAAAGATGGAACAGATATTTGACTACTTTCTGAAAAACAACCAGCTCCGCCTCAAAGAATGTCACAAAATGTCGACCGAAGATGAGTTAAATAGAAAATTATTTTGTAAGTGGCATGAAGTATATGGCCATCAAATCAGTAATTGTATTGCCTTCCGGAATGCATTTCAGAATGCCATCAAAGAAGACCGCCTCAAGATGACTGAAAAATCTGATATGAAAGTAGACACGGAGTCGTTCCCCGCGCCGATAAATGTTGTCGGAGTACGTCCAGCCAGGTCCAAAAAATCAAATTCGGGGCTTGGAGCAGATGGTAGGAGAGAAGGCCCTCAGAAACTAGTGTTTGAGAGGCTTGGGAGGTCAGTCAAATCTCCTAGGAGAAGTTTGGTGTGGGATAGACTTTCCTTCATGAACACGGTCGCAGAAGTAAGTTTCGAAAAGGAAGGTGAGGTTTGGCGAGTGACCTCCATGGATCAGGTAGTAATCACACCTCATTAGACTCGCCTTCCTAGGAAGGCTCCAGCCGACACAAGCTGGACAAAGAACTGGAAGGAGCAGGTGATGCGACCTTCTACTAGGACTCAAAAGAGGAGAATGTAGTGACAACTCTTGGCCGCTTGCCTTTGGCAGGAGTACCAGAGCGAGGGGGCAGCAGCCCTAGGACTCAGAAGAGTTATCGCTGGAAGGCCGAAGCTTGGTCGGGAAGACCTTCGTCACCAAATTTAGGCCCGAAAGGAATGGAGACCAAAAGGAGTTTTTGCAAGTGTTGAATACCCTACCGAACCTCATTTTACTCTCACACTCGGGAAGGACAAGATTTTTGAAGGTGAGCCGATGATCGGTGCTCTTGATTGCAATTAGGCATCAGAGGCTAGCTTGGATATCATTGCTTCTGACCAAGACCTTAAATGACCTTCACGCTATAAGGGAGACCTCAAGGTTAATACAATAGTGTGTTACCTCGATAATTTGAAGCTCCTCCAGTCCAGCCCGACTATCTCTAGGGAGATGTTTTATTGGAAGGAACTGGTTTGTTATGTTGGGTGGACCAAAAATCCGACATTAAAAAAGAAGATCCAGAATCAGCAGTCTTTCAGAAATTAACAGATAAAAGTACGTGTCATCTGAAGCCCTTGTTCCTCACTGTATATCTCGATGGGCGGACGGTCAGCTAGGTCCTAGTCGATGGAAGAGCTTCCCTCAATGTCATGACCTTGTCTACCCTAAGAAAGATCGGGAAGTACAGAAATGATCTCGTCCCGAAAACCATGCGAACGACCGACTTTACTAGAAATGCACATATGGCAGCAGGCGTGTTGGTGGCGAAAGTGACGATCGGAACAAGGACGGATCAAATGGCCTTCTTTGTCATTGAAGGAAAGACAACTTATTCGGCCATTCTCATGAGGGATTGGTCTACACCGCCCATTGCGTCCCTTCGAGATTGCACTAGAAAGTTATGTTTAGAGTAGAGACCAAGTTGAGACGGTGGAGGCCGAGGCTTATCCGGCTATGGAGATGCATTCCGAAGAGACTATTTATTATTCCCTCAATGTATACCCATTGTCTATGAAGTTGGAGGACACCGAAATGTGGAAGAAATACAATCTAACCATAAAGGGGTTCGAAATCAAAGTCGAGGCCGATGCACGGCCAAATAATTCAGGTATTTATCATGTTTGACATCATGATTTTACAGGATTTGGAGGCGAGAGCAGGTAGGTCCAGCTGTCCATTTATACGGGCTGGAAATCATGCCGCTCAACCTCTTGACGGGCAGACAGGGACATCCTCCCTGCCGCCAATACCAAGACGAAAAAGATATTCATTCACCGATTCAAAAAGCTGTTCCACCTTTCAAAGTGCAAGATCCATTGGAAAAGGTCAATATGGGGGGTGAGACAACCCCTCTAATGACACGGGTCAACACCTTGCTGGATGTTGAGAAAAAAAGAAAAGCAAATGATTGCTTTAATTCAAGAATTCAACGATTGCTTCACATGGGATTACCATGAGATCCAAGGGCTATCGAAGAGCTTAGTGGATCATCGATTACCTACTAAAGCTTCATCTCGGCCGCACAAACAACCCCCTAGGCATTTCAACCCAGAATTGTTGATGAAAGTGAAGAAAGAGGTCAAAAAAACTGAATAAAGCTAACTTTATTCGAACGTGTAGGTACCCGGAGTGGATTTCTAATATTGTACCATTGGTGAAGAAGAATGGAAAGATCCGGATCTGAATCTACTTCCGGAATGTCTATTTGGCGATGCCGAAAGACGAATATGTGATGCCTATTGCCGACATGCTCGTGGATTCCACGGCTGGGTACGAGATCCTTTATTTTATGGACTGATACTCTGGCTATAATCAAATATATTTGGCTGGGAAGGACGCCCATAAAACAACTTTCTACTGTCCCGGAGCAATTGGAATCTTCAAATGGATAGTAATGCCCTTCGGACTCAAGAATGCCGGAGCAACCTACCAGAGGGCGATGAATGCAATTTTTCATGACCTGATCGGCGCTTGCATGGAGGTATACATAGATGACATGGTGGTGAAGTCCCGAGCATTCGATTACCATCTGCTGAACCTTCGGAAGTCTTTATGCGGATGAGAGAGCATGACCTCAAGATGAACCCGGCAAAGTGCACTTTCGGAGTACAAGCAGGAAATTTTTTAGGTTTTTTGGTCCATCGAAAGGGGATAAAGTTGAAAAAAATAAGACCAAGGCTGTCCAGGACCTTACCCCGCTCCCCCCCGCAACATTAAGGAGCTGCAAAGCCTGATTGGGAAGGTCAATTTTTTAAGGAGATTCATCGCCAATGTGGCTGGGAGGATGAAGATCTTCTCGGTACTGTTATGTGGGAATAAAAACGTATTCGAGTGGGGAGCAACCC